CGGGGGGGGACTGCAAGCAATCCAGGTGGTATCTGAGCCCTTGTACTCCAGAGTGGGATGGCCACCACCCAGGGTGAGAATGCTGCAGTTTTTTAATCCAATTAAGTTTTTCCTGAATTCCAACCCCCTTACCTACACTTTGTTCTCCTGATAAAAAGGGTCTTTTTAAAATAGAATTTAAGATGGTCTGTTAGGGTACAAACCCACTGTCTTCTCAGATCGCCAACCATCTGAATAAAGCGCCCATGAAGGTTCAATCCCTGTCTCTGCTTATTGGGTCTGGTAGGTGCCAGGCAGCACAAACATGGGCTTTTCTGGTTTCATAGGTACCCCAACATTAAAGGGCTCCAAATAAGTTTTTTTTTTCTATTTACCCATCTTTGGAGAACATTGGAAAGAAGTGATTATAAGAAAAAAAAATGTCCTGGCTGGGTGGCTCCTTTGGTTGGAGCATCATCCCATACACCAAAAGGTTGTGGGTTTGACTCCCGTCAGGGCACACAGCCGGGTTGTGGGCTCTATCCCCTGTTGTGGGTTGCAAACCACTGATGTTTCTCTCTCTCTCTCTCTCTCAAATCAATAAACATATCTTTGGGTGAGGAGAAAAAAAGGAAAAAATAATAAAAAGCAAAATAAAAGAAAGTGATCACAATGAGAAACTCTACCAGCAGTCAGTTGGGGCAACAATCATCTTGGTTAAATTGAGCTCAAGTTTGATAACTGGGCCAGGGTCTCTTGGCTTGACTCCTGACTAGGGACCCAAAGCCTTTTACTCAAGAGTGGGTAAAATAGCCCTGACTGGGTAGTTCAGTTGGTTAGAGCATTGTCCTAATACACTAAGGCTATGGGTTTGATCCCTGGTCAGGGCGCATATAAGAATCAACCAATGAATGCATCAATGAATGGAATAACAAACTGATTTGTCTCTCTCCCTCTGTCTCTCCCTCTTTCTCTGTCTTTCTCTCTCTCCTTTCCTCTCCCTCTCTTAAATCAATAAGTAAAAAATAAAGTACAAGAGTGGGTAAAATGGTCAGGAGATAGAAAAGGGAAATTTCCAGGATTCCTTGATACAGGAATTCATGAACTGTGGTATAAAAACCCATTGGTGAAGTCCAAGCTCAGGTTATAATTAGATAAAAAGAATCTAGGAATATAATGATTGATAAGATTATGAAAACTGGAATGTTTAAACGGGCTTTATGTTTTAAAAAAGGATATGTCAACTTTAATTGACTTCATTTCTTTTACTTGATGGTACTGTGGGAACAAATACTGTGTCTCACTGGGGAACTGAAACCCGAAGGTGTGGGAGTTCAGAACAAGTCACCCAAGATGTGCTTCTGGGCAGGAGATGTGCTTCCAAGTACAAGATGTGATATTGAAAAAGGTAAAATAAAATGTTCCCAAAACTTGCTCCACAGAGTTAAACCCTACCAGAACAAATTGCTCCATCAATGATTCTCTCCCTCTCTTTCTTCTTCCTTTTCCCTCTCTCTAAAAATAAAATAAAATAAATAAATAACTTAAAAATTCCACTCTTGGGAAAGTTTGAAACTCTGCAATTAAGTTAGTTATTAAGTTTTGGTTTGGTGACTTAGTTTAGCAACAGTGACTCCATTTTGGCTTGTTGTTTCTTTTTTTGAGAACTACAAAAGAGAAAACTTGAAATGAAGTTATCTATTCTTCTATGTTAAGAAAATGGAAAAAGAACCCTAAATTGCAACCCCAAACATGGATGGAAATGAATGAGTAGAAATTATGAAATGACAGATGTACAACAAAGGAAAGCAATATAAAATTGATGAAACACTAACAAGACTGATAAAAAAAAAGAAATTGTAAATTAGTGATATCAAGAAGGATAAAGAGCCCTGGCTGGTGTGGCTCAGTGGACTGAGAGCCAGCGTATGAACCTAAAGGTTGCTGGTTCGATTCCTGGTCAGGGCACATGCCTGGGTTGTGGGCCAGGACCCCAGTTGGGAGTGTGCAAGAGGCAACCAGTCAATGTTTCTTTCACACACCAATGTTTCTCCCCATCTCTTTCTCCCTCCTTCCCCCTCTCTAAAAACAAATAAATAAAATTTAAAATAAAGAATGAAAAAGAGAACAGCCTTTTCAGATCTTATTGATATGAAAAAGATAATAAGAGGTTATTTTGAGCAATTCATATTAATATATTTGACAATGACAAAATGGACAAATCTATTTACATAAAATTCAAGAAAAGAATACTAGCCCTGGCTGGCGTAGCTCAGTGGATTGAGCGCAGGCTGCGAACCAAAGTGTCGCAGGTTCGATTCCCAGTCAGGGTACATGCCTGGGTTGCAGGCCATGACCCCCCAGCAACCGCACATTGATGTTTCTCTCTCTATCTCTCTCCCTTCCCTCTCTAAAAATAAATAAATAAATCTTTATAAAAAGAGAAAAGAATACTAATAGATGGTGATTTTCTGTCAGAATAGAGCTCCTCTCTAGAAGGAGGCAGTGATTTATCAACCTATACGCTACAGGTTAGTACACTTTGGTAAGCCTTAATACATTTTATTAAAAATTGTAGTAAAATATACATAACATAATTTGCCATTTTAACTATATTTAGTCCACCTCACTGGCATTAAGTACATGCACAATTTTGTGCATCCATCACTACTATCCATTTCCAGAACTTTTTATCTTGCCAAACAGAAATTGCACATGTTAAACTTCCCATTCCTTCCTCCATCCAGTCCCTGGAAATCTCTATTCTATTTTCTGTCTCTATGACTTTGCCTATTCTAGCTACATCATGTAATTACCTTTGTCTATAGATCACATGGGAAGGGGAAGAGGACAGTGAGTGAAAACGCTTCTCAAGATGTTTAACTGCGAGGGGGAGAGAGATGGTAGCTGGAGGGGTCAGGAACGGTGCTTTGTCTTGCTTGTTTTCAAAATGTTGCATTTGAGCCTAAGAGTAAAAACTCAGAGATCCCAGTGAGAGGAAAGTTGAATATCTAAGGTTTGCAAAGTCATCGTGAAATTAGGGTGCTAAAGAGACAGAGACAAAAGAGAGCGAGAGTGCCAGCACAGTAGCGGATGTTAACGGCAAGATTAAGAAAGGGATCATTCACCGTGTTAAAATTTGAGTCTTAACAAATCACAATCAGGATGTGAGTACCTTTGCCAGGTGCTGGATGCAATTCTTTCTTACAACAATCCAGCAAGATAGATGCTATCTCTATTTTACTAGCAAGAAATTAGACTGAGAGAATTTGCTAAAGAGCAGTTTTTAGTGATGAGATATAGAATGAAGAAATAAAATGGAGTCACTATTGTCAAACTGTTAAATCACTGGAATCAAACAGATTGAGGTATGAGGAAATAATGCTATTCTTATTTTAACTGGACTGGAAATGAAATTGGAAAAGCCAGCATTCAAGCTGCCTGGCACCTACCAGACCCAATAAGCAGAGACAGGGATTGAACCTTCATGGGCGCTTTATTCAGATGGTTGGCGATCTGAGAAGACAGTGGGTTTGTACCCTAACAGACCATCTTAAATTCTATTTTAAAAAGACCCTTTTTATCAGGAGAACAAAGTGTAGGTAAGGGGGTTGGAATTCAGGAAAAACTTAATTGGATTAAAAAACTGCAGCATTCTCACCCTGGGTGGTGGCCATCCCACTCTGGAGTACAATGGCACAGATACCACCTGGATTGCTTGCAGTCCCCCGCCCCCCCCCCCAGGCACAAAGGTGGAACTGCTTGTGGTCTCCTGGAGTCAGGGTGGGTCATACCTTCAGTTCCTGGGACAATAGCTTCTTACATGCATTGATTACTGAGCTTATTAACTACCACCTAAACTAAAATTTTCCAAATCTTGAGCCCCTATCACCTCAATTTGGCCCATTCAACCTTTGGTAATGCTGTGCTAAAACCTTTGTTTTAACTCAGTCAGTGTCCATTTTATTTATCCCCATTTTCATTTTTTTTTTAAACTAAAAGTTTCCATTGTGGTAGTTTCCACTCTGGTGAAAGGAGTCCTGTAACTCATCTTTCTTTTTAATTCAGCCATATTAGTATATTTTTAAAGAATTTGTTTATGTATTTTTAGAGAGAGGGGAAGGGAAAGAGAGAGAGGGAGCGAAACATCAATGTGTGATTGCCTTTCCTAGGCCCCCAACTGGAGGCCTGGCCTGCAACCCAGGCATGTGCCCTAACTGGAAAGTGAACCAGCAACCCTTTGGTTCACAGGCTGGCACTTAATCCATTGAGCCACACCTGCCAGGGCAAGAGATACCCACTTTTAAATGTTAATATGGCTGATCTTTGGCTGGTGTAGCTCCGTGGATTGAGCGGGCATGTGAAACAAAGGGTAGTGGTTTGATTCCCAATAAGGGCACATGCCTGGGTTGCGGGCCAGGTCCCCAGTTGGGAGTGTGGGAGAGACAAGCAGCCAAGGTATCTCTCCCACTTCCATGTTTAAAAAAAATAAAATAAATACATAAACGTAGGTATCTCATTCTGTTTATTTGATTTGGAAGCCCTTGTTTTTAAAAAGTTCTTTAAATGCACACCAGAGCAAGCCTACTTCCCCAGTCTGAATGATCCCCAGATTTGCTTTAACAGTTTATTCTCAAACACCAGGCTTTTGGGGAGCTTTCCCCTTTGCTATTTTAACATTTGCTTTCCCACCGAGGTAGACTTCTGCAGTTAGGAACTGCTTTTTCTACACAGGGGAGATACTATATCCTCCATTCATAAAAGGAAGACGTTTGTCTTCTACTGTTTTTAAAGAAGAGCAACCTAGCGCTGAAGCCACCACGTCCTGCGCTGGGCACTCACAACCACCTCACGCGGAGTCCGCTGGCGGGGGTCACAACTGATTGGCTCGGGTCTTGGCTAGGACGGCGCGGCCTTCAGCGGACAGCGAAGAGTGATAGGCTCCTGGAAACCCATCTCCTCGCCGATTGGTGGGGGCCGCGAAGCCCGGGATTGGTGGAGCCCAAATGGCAGGCTCCTCTCCGCTACGGCTTGGCTCTGTTCCAAGGAAGAGATGGCGACTGTGGCTTGGCTGCTGGGACGGCGCGCGACGAGCTGGAGGCTGCAGACGCCGCTGTCCCCGCTGGTCTGCCTGGTTTCCCAGCGGGCGCACTCACTGTTGCCGGTGGACGATGCGATCAACGGGCTAAACGAGGAACAGAAGCAGGTAGAGAGCCTGACCCTTTCCTCAGCCCCAAGGCCCCCTGGCCTGGCCCCAGCTGCCAGCTTCTTGGTTTGCTTGCCACTCTTCTGCCCCTCGGCCACTCAGCCGCGGCGTGTGCCTAGCTGTGAGAGTTAGATGAGGAGTCAGGTAGGAAAACTCCTGGGAGACTGGTAGTGTTTTGGTGGAGAATTGGCAGGGGCAACCCGTATGTGGCAAAAAAAAAGTCCTCAGTCTGTCGGAAGCCTACTTACATCTGAACACCAAGGCTGTGGTTCTCATACAGGTTAATCATTATCCCCAACAAATCTTTTTAAATACATGCTTCAAAAAACATGTATTTTAATGCATGTTTTAATGCATGCTTTAATTCATGCATGGAGTTTTTTAATGCAGTATGATCTGACCCCGCAGAGCCGAGCACAAAGTTGAGCAAAATACATGAAAGATGTCATTACAGCCGGAGCTGAACCAGAGCCCTGTCAGGAGGGAAGAGACCGTTCTCTTCGACACAGTTCCTCACGTCCCCACCAACATGATTCTCCCATGGCGATAGCCAGCACGTGCCAGTGCCTCCTGGAACTCCAAGGCCCGTTTGTGTTTACAGACTGCAGGCAGAGATTTGAACCAACCTGGAAAACTAGAAGTCAATTTTAGTTCTCAAACTTTCCTGCCAAGAAGTTTCTAATCTCTTTGAGTAAAACCTTTATATATTTTAAACTAATTAATTAATTAATTGATTGATTTTTAGAGAGAGGGCGAAGCAAGAAAGAGAGGGAGAGAAACATCTGTTTCCTCTCCTACATACCCTACCAGGGACATGACCTGCAACCCAGGCACGGGCCCTAACGGGGAATCAAACCAACGACCTTTGGCTTTGCTGTAGTAATCCCTTTTGGGCAGAAAAGACCCTGACAGGCTCCTGGAACTGAAGAGCGCACAGTGCTGCCAGGGCGAGGGGTCGGGGGCGGGCCTGTGGAGAGAGGGTACTGGGAAAAGCTGGAAGGGTCAGTGAGGGTCAGCTCATGCAGGACCTTGGCCTTCTGAGTACAAAGGAAAGCCATGGAATGATTTTATGTAGGGGAGTGGCATTTTTAAAAGTCATGTTCCAGCTGTCTGTAGTTAGGACCTCAAGACGGGGGTGAAGGCCTGACTGGGATGGCTCAGTTGGTTGAGCATGGTTGTGCAAAGCGGGGCATGCTGGTTCAGTTCCTGGTCAGGGTGCATGCCAGGCACACGACTGGGTTTCGGGACATTTCCCACTTGGGGTGCGTACAGGAGGCAACTGGTGGATGTTTCTCTCCCTCTCTTTCTCCTTCCCTTCTCTCTAAAAATAAATAAATAAAATCTTTAAAAAAATTAAAAAGAAAGAGGGGTGAGTCTATCACTGAAGAAATATAAACAAAGTGCTTCTAAGTTGCAGTCTGATGCTGTTTGGTGAGGTATCTTGGGGCCTGTTTTCCTGAATGTGTCCTCAGTAGTGGAGACGCTGTCTTCAGGGGCAATGACATACTGTTTAAGAGGCATCTGTGTCCACCTGTCTCCCTCTAGCTTCGTCAGACCATGGCTAAGTTCCTTCAGGAGCATCTAGCCCCCCAGGCCCAGGAGATTGATCGAAGCAATGAATTCAAGAACCTTCGAGTGAGTCCCGAGACCTACACTGAGGGGCAGAGGGGCAGTTGGGAGCTGGGCTGGGAGAGACACTGCAGCCTGAAAGAGCTCATGCAATCTTCTGGTAAACGAAGCCTCCTTAAGACTGCAGCTCCTTTCTGTGAAGCATTTGGGTCTGTTGCTCCAGCCGTCCAGGTACCTGTGACTGGCTGCCTTCTCACAACTCACTGCACTCACTCCGCTTTGTTGATAGGAGTTTTGGAAGCAGCTGGGGAACCTGGGAGTCCTGGGCATCACAGCCCCTGGTGAGTATAATTTCATTGCCTAAAGAGAACTTTTCTTGCATGCCCTTTAATATCAGCCCCGACAGAAGTGTGAAAGGAATGGAAAGATTGTGCTCAACGAAACCTAGAACTTCCTCCCCTTGGTTCTGGGAAAGCACCCACTGACTGCCAGCCCTTCCAGTTCTTTAGGCAGTGACATTGAGAACTGGAAGAGATTAGGCCACTGTGGCTCACTTAGATCAGGGTCCCTTGGACTCTTGAAGTCTGCATGCTTAGTAAGCTCCCCCAAGTGACTGTAGCAGCTGTCTTAGTACCTAGTCCAGTCCCTAAGCCCTGCCCTACCAATATAACATCTGGGCACACAGTTTAGCCTTGGGGCTCATTTGAGAAGAGATGAAGGTGTGGAGGAGAGGGGTGCCTGTCTGAGCCTACACATGAGGTGGCCAGATGATGTGTTCAGTACACTGTCCCTGGGCCTGTCCTGTGTCCCCGTGGGTCTTACTACTTGTTTTCAGGGATAAAGGGCAGGGAGCTGGTGGGCTCTGATTTGGATGTTGGTGTCTGAAGGAGAGGCCCAGCCTGGCTTACAGTACCCAGTAAACAGATGAGCCTGCGGCCCCACCAGCTAAAGCCTGGATGGTACACCCTGCTTTGGCTTGTATTCACTGGGCATTGGAGTAGAGGTGGGACATAATGTACTTCTCCCTATATCTTCCCCTCTCCACCTGGAGACAATTCTTGGGTTTGAACTGATCGCAGACGGTTACATCATGAGTAATAATAAAATGAAGCCACTTAAAAATTAATTTAGGCCACCTTAATAGAAAAGGATAAGGGGAAGGCCACTGGGAACTTCAAAGCAAGACTCTTCCACTGTTTCTTGGAGGTTCATGAGCCACCACAGACAATATGCTTCTGAATCAAATGGGATTTACTATAAGAAAGAGGTAGTTAGAAATGAGAACCTTGGAAAGAAAGCCAGATATGAGTTCTGGTTTCTGCTTGGTTGTCCTGGTGGCTATTTCCTTGTCACTCACCCTGTGGGTTTGCTTCCTAGAATTGTGGGGCTTTGGATGAGCCTGACTTCTTGGTCAGAGTGAACATGTGCAGAGGATCTCACCAGGGTTGACTCAAACAGCAGAGGAGGGGGTTGGTACCCGATGACCCAGCCACTTTGATTTTGGATCTACTGCCAAGGAAAAGGCACATTTTTAGGAGGAATTCTGAAATTCCCTACCAGCATCTCTTCTGCCCTCGGCCTCGCTGCCCCCCAGATTTTCTCTCAGGCTGTGGCTCTCCTGTTCCCTGTTATTAATCTTGCTTTTTTATTTTACTTTTCAAATTGTATTTTGTTGGTCATGCTATTACAGTTGTCCTGATCCTTCCCCTCTGCCCCCTTCCACCCAGTACCCCTTACCTCCCTCAGGCAATCCCCCCACAATTGTTCATGTACATGGGTCATGCTTACAAGCCCTTTGGCTACTCCGTTTCCTATCCTGTACTTTACATCCCCATGGCTATTCTGGAACTACCTATTTGTACTTTTAATTCCCTCACCTCTTCACCAGTCCCCCCACCCACCCCCCCAACTGGCAACCTTCCAGTAACTTAACTTCTTTTCTCTTGCTTTTAATAGTCTATCTTTATTTTTAACCTTTGGCCTTTTAATAATGATATGTCTTGGAGTGGGCCTCTTTGTATCGATCGTAATTGGGTTTCTGCGCTTCCTGGACTTGCATGTCTATTTCCTTCACAAAAGTAGGGAACTTTTTTTTCTCTATTTTTTTTCAGATAGATTTCCAATTTATTGCTCTTTCTCTTCTCTTTCTGGCACCCCTATGAGGCGAATGTTGGGCCTCTTAAAGTTGTTCCAGAGGCTGTTTATACTGTCCTCCCATTTTTGGGTTCTTTTTACTTCTTGTTCTGCATGGTTGTTTTTTGCATCCTTATGTTCCAAATCATTTATTTGATTCTGGGCTTCACCCATTCTACTATTGTTTCCCTGTAAATTTTTCTTTATTTCAATTAGTGTATCCTTCATTTCTGACTGGGTCTTTTTTATGCTGCTGAGGTCCTCACTAAGTTCCTTGAGCATCCTCATAATCAGTGCTTTGAACTCTGCATCTGACAGATTGCTTATCTCCATTTTATTTAGCTCTTTTTCTGGAGTTTTTAATCTGTTCTTTCATTTGGGACATGTTTCTTTGTCTCCTAATTTTGTCAGCCTCCCTGTGTTTGTTTCTATGTATTAGGTAGAGCTGCTTTGGCTCTGTGTCTTGATAGTGTGGCCTAATGTAGTAGGTGTCCTATAGGGTCCAGTGGCACAGCCTCCCCTATCACCCAAGCTGGGTACTGGAGGTGCGCCCTTTGTGTGGGCTGAGTACACCCTTCTCTAGTAGTTGAGCCTTGGTTGCTGTTGGTAGGTCAGTGGGAGGGATTTACCCAGGCCCGTCAGCTGCAAGGCCTGGCTGTGACCACTGACCACCAACCTCTGCCCTCCATGGAGGATCAGCTGTGCAGGGGCAGGGCGGTGGTGCTTCAGTGTGGTCTATAGCTGTCCTACACTGAGTGTTTGGCCCTGTGGTTTCCTAGGTGGTGCAGACCAAGGTCAGCCCCCAGCAGTGTTTCGTCTGGGCACCCTGCCTGAGCTGTAAAGCGATTTGAAATGGCTGCTACTTGTGCTGGACTTGGAGATTTCCAGGTGAAGCCAAGCTGTGACTCTAATCTGGCTGCCGCTAGGGCTCACTGAGGCCAGCTGTGGCTTGTTGGATAGGATTTAGGAGCCAAGATGAATCATTTTATGGAAAAGTAGCTTGGGTGGGACAGAGCCTCTGGGGATCTCCCAGGGGGGTCACACAGTGTTGGCCAGGTTGATGGTGTCAGATATGGCACCACTGGTGCCCTTCAAGCTACCCCGGTGCTGGAGCTCAGAGGGAGCGAGTCTGAGTAGGTGAGTTCATGTGTGGGTTCCTCAAGAGGAACTGCTCAGGACTCCAGCAGCCTCCTTCAGTGACTCAACCTCCACTGTTTTTCGCAGCCAGAAGGGGACTTATCTTCCTGATCTGAGGGGCCTAGTGTGGTCTGGGGCTCCTTGTTCCCAAGATATCCTTCCCCATTTTTATCCACATGGGTGTGGGGCCAGCCTGTTCCGAATCTGCACCCTTCCCACCAGTCTGGATGGATGTGGTTTCTTCAGTTCCGTCATTGTCAGACTTCCATTCAACTGGATTTCTGACGTTCCTGAGTGATGGTTGTTCTATTTTTTAGTGTATTTTTGATGTGATTGTGCAAAGAGTTGAGCCATTTCTGCCTGTGTCTCCATCTTGACCAGAAACCTCACTTTTTTATTTTTTTAATGTTTTTCGTTGAGATACAATTGACATGTAACATTGTGTAAGTTTAAGGTGTGCAGCGTGTTGGTAGTTCAAACCTATGCTATGAAAATCTCACCTTCCTCCAGCCTTTTACCTTTGCTTTGAGTCTGTTCTTTGTGCTGTGATCTTCCCTCTTTGTGTTTCTTGGTTAAACCCCAGGTCATCTGCATTCATCTGCCTCTGCACTTCTGTAGCTTTCTGAATAGTAGGTACTCGGCTTCTGTTGTCCTCAAGAAAAGGTCTCTCTGGGGTAAAGCAGGTGTTGTAATGACTTTCCTGAACCACACCTTGGCTGACAGAGGCAGCAGACAAAACCAGTTCTGCGTGTTCGTAAGCAGAGTCCCAGGCATCAGCCTGTTGACTGTGTTAGTGGGGAACGTGGACTAGGTGCCATAAGGGTGTTTCTCTGTTGTCAGTAAATGTTAGGTTCCTGTCAATGTCCTGGTTTAACCTGGGCTGCCTTTTCTGCTCCCCTGAACAACCTCCACTCCCAGTCCAGTATGGTGGCTCTGGCCTGGGCTACCTGGAGCATGTGCTGGTGATGGAGGAGATATCCCGAGCTTCTGGAGCGGTGGGACTCAGTTATGGTGCTCACTCCAACCTCTGCATCAATCAAATTGTTCGCAATGGAAATGAGGCCCAGAAGGAGAAGTACCTCCCCAAGGTGAGAAAATGGGAATGGAGAAACACGCTGATCTCACCATGCAACCACCACCCCCGAGGCACCCTCCCCTGGTGGTGAGGGCTGGTCAGACTTGCCTTTGTAGTTCGCTGCCCTGAACCAGATATGGTTAGGAAGGGGTCAGGGGTTTGCTTTCAAATACTTTAGTCAAAAAAATTAAAAATAGGGCCCGACCTCCTGAATTCATCAGTGGAAAACATTTGCAGAGAGCTCTAAGACACAGAAGACTAGGACTTGCTTCCTATGCAAAGGGGATAGGAAAAGGAGAAATATTTTCAGCCGTGTAGATAGATACTGGACTTGCCTTGTAACACTTTACCAACACCCTAGTCTTAGAAGTTTGAAGGGGTGTCGTATGAACAGGCGAGAAGCACCTGAGCTCCTGTGGGTACTTCTGAAGTCACAACCAGGCCCTTCGGGGTTTTCCTTGCAGCTGATCAGTGGCGAATACATCGGAGCCCTGGCCATGAGTGAGCCCAATGCTGGCTCTGATGTTGTCTCCATGAAGCTAAAAGCAGAAAAGAAAGGTGAGGCCTCTCTGGACTCAGGAGCTGAAATGGATAGAGGGACAGCCCTTGTCAGGGTGAGGGAGCAATAACCGGGGGTGGCCTCTGCTAGACTGTCAGGACTGCGTCCCACTGGGCAGCTTCCCGCTTAGCGGGTCTGTGGACTGACCGGCTGAGCCGGGCCAACACTGCTGCTGGTTAGTAGCCAAGTTTCTGTCCTTAGGAGATCACTACATCCTGAATGGCAACAAGTTCTGGATCACCAATGGCCCCGATGCCGATGTCCTTATTGTCTATGCCAAGACAGATCTGGCTGCTGTACCAGCTTCTCGGGGCATCACAGCCTTCATCGTGGAGAAGGTGAGTGAAGGGCTGGTGCACCATGGGAGGACCTTGTCTGCTGACAGCGGTGCCAGAGATGGAGCTCTTCAGCTGATTGCAAACCACAGTCAATCCCATGTGTTCTGCCAAGGCTCCCTGGGGTGGGGGTGAGGCGGGAGAGCAGATTGCAAGGAGGGTGGCCTAAAAGTGGAATCTAGGGAGGATGAGTCAAGCCCGAGATCAGTGGAGCTGGCCACCAGGCCAGGAAAATGCAGGCTGAAGGAGACACCTGGATTTCACAATGAAGGTGTCATCAGGGGCTGCGTGAGTGGGAAGCGAGTGCAGCCTGATTGAAGCCTGCACCTTTTGAATTTTGACAATAAAGGCAAGAGGGAGATAGAGCAGAAATTAGAATGAAAATTTGGGAGTTTGAGTGTTTTTAAAGATGGGAGAGAACTGAGCCAATTTTTTAGGAAAGTTTAAGGCAAATAGGAGAAGGATGACTTAAGATGTGTGCAGAACAATGGAGAGTTGAGGGAGAAGAGGTGAGGCTGGTTACAGGTGATGGGGGAGGACCCTCTTCTTTGTGACCTTGAGGTAGAAGGCCAGGGCACCTGTGAGGGCTGGGGATCACGGGGGTGAGGGAGTAGGTGGATGGTTTCATGGATTAGTGTTGTAAACGTTTATAATGCCCTCCCTAGGGAGAGGAAGGGAGTAGCTGGCTCGGATTGGAAGGCCAGAGCAGTGAGTGAGTAGCACAGAGGGCCTGGCTCAGATGGAAACGTCAGGGTTGTGTAACACCACTCTCATCAGCCAGGAGGTGCGGGGAGCCACACGTGCTCCTCTGGGCACTTAACCTCGCTGCCTCTGATTAGCCCAGGTCTCAGCACACAGGTGGTTGAATTGATCCCGGCTGGGACTCAATTAGATACAGATGGCTGAGGGCCAAAGGGCCAAAGGAATTGAATGGGCTGGTGAGAATGTCTTCGAAGTGATTTCCCTAAGGAAAGGAAACAGCCGGAAGGGTCAGGCGGGCCCCAGGGATCAGGCATTTGAGAAAGAAGTGCTCCCGGGAAAAGTGGGGAGAAGGCCAGCCAGCAGAGAGAAGGTGGTGGGGGGCGTTGGGGCTGGAGCTTCCAGGACTTCAGTACTTGTGTGCGGGGCAGTTGTGTACAGGGGTGAGGGGGCCTGGGAGTAGAATGCTGGGGTGCCGAACAAGTACTGGGACTTGATGGGAAGGTGGGCATTTTGCAGGGATCTTCCCTTTACCAGACCCCCTCGGGGCCTGGTCTGTAATCAAGGCCACCTTCTGTTTCTGTAAAGAGTATGCCTGGCTTCAGCACCTCCAAGAAGCTGGACAAGCTGGGGATGAGGGGCTCTAACACCTGTGAACTAGTCTTTGAAGACTGCAAGGTTCCCGGTGAGTGTCTGAGAAAGGGTGCGCCCCTGTGCTGACCCCTCATAAGCCAACAAAGCCCATCTGTGGGTTAGAGAGGCTCCCCATCATTAGCTCACCAGTGACTTGTGGCTAGAGGGTGGGCCCGCCACTGCTCTGGCCCGCACCCCCCACTCGGGGGACTCTGGGGCTGCGGGCTGCGGGCAGCTCTTTTCCCTGTGTGCCCGGCTGGGGCCGAGGTGAGTGGTGGTGCTTCTGTGTGGATAGCACAGTGTGCTGGGCTTGGAACAGAAAGATAGGTCTGCCCTTGCCCGTTACTGCCCTTCAGACGTCCTTGTCTGTGCATTTCCCTGTACAGTCTGCCTGAGGTGTTCATTAACAACGCTAAAACACTGTCCAAATACACCGATGGAAGCTAGACTCAGTGAAGGGAAGGCAATTCAGTTTGAGTATATTCTCCCCTGAACTGTAGCTGAAAATGCGACACATTGTTGGAGAGCCCGCACACCCTTCATACGCTAATGAGACCACAGACACAGATTTGATCACCGACTAGGTTTGTTCCTCACGCACCGAAGCCACAGGCCAACCCCTCACCACCTGATCCATCTTCCAAGAAAAGTGCACTTTGGTTACAAGGCGCATCAAGGGAGTGGGGGGTCAGTACAGGCCCCTTCTTTGTAAGCAGGAAAACACTGCAAGGGTCCTGGCTTCGTGGGGGAGAGGTGCTCAGCAGTTTGTCACCAGCACTGAATGGCCCATCTCCTGGACAGCGACTTTTCCAGGGACCACTCTTGGAGGGGCGGAGACGGATGATACTGGACCAGAGCAGGCTCAGCCTGGGGGAAAGAGTAATAATTATGGACACAAGTGTAAAAAAACCGGGAAGGGTTTGGCTGACTTCTAGACCAAATTAGCTTTTCTTCTTTCCCATCCAAGGCAGTGGAGGGGGAGGAGACCAAAGGATTGAAGGAAGGATCAGGCCTTTGTGTCTGATCCTGTGGATGGGGGGGGGGGGGGGGGCGTCTATCTAGCAAACTCTGCGTCTGACTGAAAGTGGCAAACTCCATCCTTTTCTCGCACCCAGAACACCCTACTTGAAGGTCAGGTGACATTTTATTTTATTTTTTAAATTTTTAATTTGATTTTGGAGAAAGGAAGTGAAAGAAACATTGATTTGTTCCACTTATTTATGCATTCATTGGTTGATTTTAAAAAAGATTTTATTATTTATTTTTCGAGAGAGGGGAAAGGAGGAAGAAAGAGAGGCAGAGAAAGAAACATCGATCAGTTGCTTCTCACATGCCCCCAACTGGGGACCTGGCCCACAACCCAGGCACGTGTACTAGCTGGGGATCAATCTGGCGAATCTTCAATTCACAGGGCAGTGCCCAGTCCGCAGAGCCACACCAGCCAGGGCCCATTGGCTGATTCTTGTATGTGCCCTGAGGAGAATCAAACCCACAGCCTTGGTCTGTCAGTACAATGCTCTAACCAATTGAGCTACCCAATCAGGGCCGGGAGTGTTTTTTTTTTTAATGTGGTTAAATGTATCAACTGTTTTGTGTGTGTGGCTTCTGGGATTTAGTAATAGATAAGAAAGATCTTCCCACTTTCAAAGAGGACCTCTAAGCAACCGAGCTACTGAGCTACCGGCCAGGTCCAGGTGACATATGTTAATGCCTTGTGTGCGAGTCCTGGCACCAAACCCAGTAGCTTTTATGAATGTGGGAAGTCTGTGGACAGCCCTCGCCCCTCTGACCAGCACTTTTCCCTGCAGCTGAAAACATCCTGGGCCATCTAAGTAAAGGCGTCTATGTGCTGATGAGTGGGCTGGACCTGGAGCGGCTGGTGCTGGCTGGTGGACCCCTGGGGTGAGTGTGAGGCCGGGCGGGGTTGGGGGGGCGGGTGAGGGAGTGGCTGGGCTTTCCGCCTCCTTGGCAAGCACTGCCCTGGCAAATAGCAGCTGCAGCCTTTCCCTGGTGGGTGGAGGGGAGCCGCCCCCTGGCCAGTGTACCTTCTCTCCTGGAGATAAAAAGAATCTTCTCCTCCCAGGTGTAACTTCTTCATGATGAAGGGAAAGATTAGTTGAAAGACAGACAAAAGGCCTGAGGAGCAATACTGCTTAGTTACACAGGAGATGAAAAAAGGACACCCAGGCTCTAAGGCCCCACTCACTGCACAGGGTCCTGTGTAAGCCCTGGGCCGTCCACGCAGTGACCGAGCAGGGGTGACAAGTGTCCTCCCTCTCCCTTCCTCCGCCCTAGAACTCCAGCTCCTTGTCTCACTGAGCTGTCTCACTGAGTTTTCACACTGGCGTTTTGCCACCCCAGCGGGAGCTGGGGAACAGTGAGGCACTACCCAGTGTCTTTCTCCTCCCACCAGGCTCATGCAGGCTGTCCTGGACCACACCATCCCCTATCTGCACGCTAGGGAAGCCTTTGGCCAGAAGATCGGCCACTTCCAGGTGAGTGGAATGCTTTGTTGAAATGTGCTCTTCCATTGGGTTCGAGTTTTCTTTAACAAATGAGTACACAGGAAATGCTCCGGGGGGCATTTACTATCCTTCCTCAGCAAAATGAGTTTGAATGCTTGGAGTGCAGGCTTTCTCAGCTTGCTACTTGGCTTTGGAAGTTGTCTGGAAGTTCGTCACATGTCACCTCACTTCCTGTTCGAGTCGAAGGAAGGAGGCATTGTAAGGTTGGAGGGTGAGGCATGTGGATTCCGGGAGGCCTGGGGAAAGGGGAATGGCATTTCTAACCAAACTTTCTGGCCTGAAGACCTTCAGGACTAATGAGGGCGGTGGAGGTGGAGGGCCATTCAGGCTGCAGCAGCCGCCCTCCGGCCTTAACTCCAGACCTGCTACCATCTCTGTCATCCTCGGCAAGTCCTTCAGCCCTCTGTGCCCTGATGTTCCCATTCTGGCTGTCAGGTTGCTGATCTGCTTTTGGTAACTAGGGGGAGTGTCTGAGAGGAATGTGGCTCCAGCATGTTGACTTGTGACCTCTTTGTGTGCCCAGCTGATGCAGGGGAAGATGGCCGACATGTACACCCGCCTTATGGCATGTCGGCAGTACGTCTACAATGTCGCCAAGGCCTGCGATGAGGGCCACTGCACCGCCAAGGTAAGGCCCGCCCAAACGGAGGCAGTGGTGGGCTGCTGGGCCCTGCTAACCTGCGACCTCCTCCCACAGGACTGCGCAGGTGTGATTCTTTACTCAGCTGAGTGCGCCACACAGGTGGCCCTGGATGGCATTCAGTGTTTCGGTGAGTGGCCCCCACTCCCCACTCCCAGGGCTTCCCTCGCTCCCAGAGCCTGTGGCTGCCTCTGAGGTTTCCTCTCCCTGCCTCACTTGGAGCTTCAGCTAGCTGCAGCTGAGCTGTCGCCCCTCGGCTCCTTCTGCCCCAGTTACCGGGAGAACACAGAAAGGCAAATGAGAAAATTGCTGGAGGCTACAAATTGCTACTGCCTTCAGCAACACCCCTCACACCCTCCCCACCTAGCCCTGTGGACACTGGGAAGTGAGAGAGAGAGAGATGCCTCGGCGGTGGGACAGCCTGGTTTCAAAGCTGCACAGACTGGAGCCAGATGGCCTGTGTTTAACTTCCTGGCTTTACCACTGACCAGCTTTGTGACTTGTGCAAATCACTTCCCTGGGGCTGGCGCCCACTGAGTGCTATGCAGTATCTCCTTGTCCCCTTCTCCATACTTGCCAGTGGTCCTCCCCTCTGCCTGCCTGCCATCCTCTGCACTCTGGGTGGCCTTCCAGCCCCTTGTCCACTGTCCTTCCAGGTAAGGTATTCCCCAGGCCCCACCCTCTCACCACCTTTGGCTGGTGCGCTTTAATTGGTCTCTCCTCCTCTTGCCTGTTTCTGTATCCTTGGCTTTCTGTTTTCTTCCCTTGCTTTGCCCACGCCCATCACTTTTCCTGTTGTTCTTTCTTCTCTGCCCAAACCCCGGCTACAGGTGGCAATGGCTACATCAACGACTTTCCCATGGGCCGCCTTCTGCGAGATGCCAAGCTGTATGAGATTGGAGCTGGGACCAGTGAGGTCAGGCGACTGGTCATTGGCAGAGCCTTCAATGCAGACTTCCACTAACCCCAACACCTTCACCCTTCTTCCCAGCACCTAGAGGCCTTTTTTTGGAAGCAGAGGTGTGGCAAGTCCTTCTGCTTAGCTGCCAAGCACTGTGGGCCTCAGAGCCAGACCAGCCAGCCAGCCCGCCAGCCCAGAAAAAAAGCATTCTGTGGCTTAAAATGGACACGACAGGAAGCACAGTGGCTTTTCTGGGGTTATTGGGATGGGCTTTGGTGATCCTGTGCATTTGCTCTCTGACTTCCAAGCCTGATGCACCCACCTTCCAGGGTAGGCAGTCACCTCTTTTTCTTGGATGAGCATCTAGCAGGGAGCCCCCTGCTCATCTGCTTGAACTTGGTATCCTCTTCCAGGGGGAACCCCCCAGCCCCCTCCCCCCCCAGAGAAACCCCTAGCCTTTATTTTTGCCAATTTCTAGAGGCATCAGTCCCCAGCAGCTTGTGAGCAGGCTCCCACTCAGCACAGCCCCTGCATCCCTCCAAGGGCTTCCTTCTGTAAGGCTGACACCCCACCATTTTGGGGTGGAGTTCTGGAACTGGGCATCTCAAAACACATGTGCCACCCAGAGGCTGCAGTGGGGCAGAGGTTGGCATGCATGTAAAGGATTGGCTTGGCACTGGCCTCTGGCAGCACCTCTGAGCCCTTCAGCACTGCTGCGCCACCACTACCCCCAGTCCTGGCCACAGGACAGCCCACAGCTGACAGGGCAACGGGCCTGCGTTGGCTGGCTCCACTCCAGCCAAGGCTGCCTGCGTGCATTTCTCTGGACACCCTATGGCTAATTTTGCTACAACTGCACAGCGGCTGCTGCCATTTTGTATTAAACATATCATGAAGCAGACCCGTCTGCTGCTACACTGGTGTTTGGGAGAGAAGCAGTTGACTTGCTACCACGTCCTGTCTGGCTCCAGCCGTGTCCTTAGTGGCTGGTCCACGTCCTGCTCCTGCCCTTCAGTCTCCTCACGGGTGAAAGGGGGATGTGGGTGGAGTTGGAGCTTAGGAGAGAAGAGGTCCTAGCTTCCCTTTTCCAAATCCCCAGGGATTTTTTAAAGGAAGTTGGAAGCCCGGAGTGGTAAGAGACTTAGAGCTAGAAGAAAGCTCATAAATTTGGGGGGAAGCCATCCCCGTGTTTTTTTAAAAGATCAAGACAGTTAGATTTTTCCAAGGTCAGAGCTGGAGCCCGAATCCAGAGCAGTAGAAATGGGGATTCTGGAAATGCCCTCTTGGGGCCCCACTGCGCAGCTTCGTGGATGCAGCTTAGAGAGGACCAGGTTTGGGTCGTTCCATCCCATTTGCGTTCTCTGAAGAGAGGACTGGTTTTCTTGGCTCTCAGCCCAGCGATGCCTCTTCTGACTTGGGTCCTGGCCTGTGGCCAAGTGCTATTCCATACCCACCCCAGCCCAGCTGCAACCTGAGGCGGGAAAGACCCAGGGCTTGCTGGCACTGACCTTTCACTTCTCCGCTCTGCCTCCTGCTATTTGATGAATGTGGCTAAAATGGTCTTGCTGGGTTTTAGGTGTAGTTAGAACAACCGGCCTGGTGACGTTCAGAATGGGCTGTTTCGTCCAGCCAAGGTGGGTTACAAGGTCTGCCACCTACTTAGGGGAAATTGATTGTTCTCCTGATGCTATATGTGAAAAAGATGGGTTTTCAAATAAAGCCAAAAAAAAAAAAAGTGTAGCCTGAGTTATGAATGGAAGAGCAGGGGGGCCCTTCTACCTTGGTTCTTTTGGGAGTTTTCGGTTGTTAGTTACACTGTGCAGCTCTGCAGCACCAGCTGCCAGCCCTCCTCCCTCCCGGGGCTGCCTCTCATTCCACTCCAGTCTCAGGCAGGCCGCACTATCAGGTCCAGCTCCCCTGTTGACTACCTTCTCTGCTTTCCTACTGCTTGCTCTGTGGGATGGGAATAGAAGCTAAGGAAATGGTTCTCCAACTATGGTCTAGGCATCCGTTTCTGAGAATTTGGCAATCTGCTTTAAAAAGAAGAAGAAAATTCAGATTCCTGGATGGGCCCCAAACCTAATCACAACTCCAGGGGTAATTCCCAGGCACAGGCAACCTTTCAGAGCTGATCTGAGGCCGAGGATGCTTCCCGAGAGGTCTGAGCCCTAATTCTAAACCCGTATAATCTAGGGAGGGCAGACCTCTCGAGTTTCTCTTTGACACTAGCTCCTTGATCTTTGCGACTACCTGGGTTCGGGAGACAGGGTTGCATGTGGGCCCCATTTCAGCAGACCAGTACGGTGAGCGGCCCAGGGGCACCCCAAACAAACCGCAGACAAACCAGCCCCGCCCAGGCGCTGGGTGGAGGCAGAGCTGGTGTAAACCCTGCTTGGGGTGTGGGAGGGGCGTACACTCCTCGTCCCTCCCGGCCGAGCCCTGACCTAGGACCCAGGTGGCTGCTAGTCACAACCCTCAATTTAAGGTAGGTTCAAGGTCCTCCGTCTGCCTCTTCCCGACCCAAGCACCTCGTGCGGTGCCACGGAGCGCTGCTCGGGCTCTCGAGCTCGGGCGCGGCTCTGCGGGCCCTGCATGGAGTTTGCCTGACCCCTGCCGGCTGGCTGCAGGGTCGCAGGCGCCCAGAGCCCGCGGCCCTGGGCCTTTGGTCTGTGCCCTGGACTGCTCAGGGTTCAGTGATGTTTTGCTTTGCCAAATGACAATGTTGAGAGAGAGCTGGCTATCCTTTATCTTGTATCATTTTATACAAAACAGGCCACTTTTAGAAGTTAGAAAAAGTAGAAAGGACTTAAACTCAGAACAAAAGCCATTTTTTTTACAAAATTTGTGTTTTATGTTCATGGGTTTTAAAATATAATTAAAAGGCATATTTAGAAACCTTTAAATGAAAAGAAAACGCTTGACTTTGATGCCTCACCAGCCCCCTTCAGCCCCCAAAAGCACTTGAATCTTTAAGAGATTTCTTTTGGCAATTCATTTCATTTCTCTAAGTGATATATGCTTACATATTGATTTGATTGCAGACACTTCTAAGGATAGTGCTTTAAAGTGCATACATTTGGCCCTGACTGGTGTGGTCCAGTGGTTTGGGCGCCATTCCCCGAAGTGAAAGGTCGCGCTGGATTTGGGTGAGCGCCCATGCGGGGCTTGCAGGCCATGTCTCCAGCTGGGGGCATGAGGGAGGCGACTGATCCCTGTTTCTGTTGCACACGTGGATGTTTCCCTCCTCTCTCCCTCCCTTCCCCTCTCTCTAAAAATAAATAAAATCTCTAAAAATAAATAAATGAAGTGCATTCATTTGGCTTATAAGAAGCTTATGACATGCCGACCCCTATTTTGCTCACCTTCTCAGGCTCATCCACAGGCTAGAACTTGGGAGCCCTGGGATCAAATGGTAGAGTACCTCCCGCATTCCTGGCTGTCCCCTGACTCTGCCCACGCTTAGTGCTCCCCCACGGCCAGAGCCCAGGGCCACACTGGCTCCAGGTGGAAGCCCCCTCTCCCTGTGTGCTCCACCTGTGTGCTCCACCTGATCACTCCAGCAGAGAGCTGTTTTCAGAGCTGGCCTCTCTGATACCCACCGCCCACCCACTCTCACACACAGCTAGCCTGTCGAGATATTTCTTGGATCCACAACAATCTGACAATTTGCCTGCCTTCTTCTGTTCCACGCCCCTCAACCTTTCTATACCAAGCCAGAGTGGACTCCCAAGCTCCCCCTAAATACTTCAGGGGCTCTCAGCACCTGTAAGATCTAAGATTTGTCAAGGCAAGTGGGAGCTCTGATCGACCCCTGCCTCCCCCTCTGTGGCTCCTGTCCGCATCCCCATGAGGTCTTGTGTTCCATTGTAAACACTTACAGAGCTGTTTCTTACCCTTGGGCCTTTGTCCCTGTAGATCCCTCTGCAGAGGATGCCCTCTGGCCCTTGCCCTTGTCTCCTTACCATTAATACCTCGGTTCATGGGCTGTCTCCCTCAGGAAGACCTCCCTTCTCCAACATTTCCTCACTGCTTGTCCCCATCCTGCCCATCCTGAGTGGGGCCTCTCCTTCCTTCTCCTGGGCAAATTGACATCAGTGGACTTGTCCCACTTTTATCTTTATCTCATGTATGTGTCTGTTTTCCTTGCATCTGCCTCAGAACTTAAGGGCCAGTGTTGTGATGTAACTGCTTTTATATGATCACCATCACCATGGCTCCTGGCACATAATAGGTGCTCAACAAATATTTATTGAAAGAGTAAATAGTAAAATGTGATGCTTTGTTCACATTTTGCTGGTACCAGTTGTTTGTGTATGTGATCACCTCTAAGTATATTGCAAGATCTTTGAGGTCAAAGACCATTTCTCACTTATTTGAATCCTCCCCACAGCACCCAGGGCTCACAGAAAGCACTCAGTAGCTATGTTCATGCTGAATGAGTGAAACAACAGGTGGGCCAGAGCCTTGGCCTAATCCCCAAAGTTGGCAGGAACAGCAGAGCCAGCCGGCCTCTCCTGGCCCTGCCTTTCACAGGCCTTCTCACCCTTGAGTATCCAGGGCCCAGCTGTGGAGGGGAGGCCCCTGTCTCTTATATTCCTCTGGCCCTCTCAGAAACAGAAAGGAACTGTGATGAGGGACACTGGCCCCTCTTCTGCCAGCTGAGAACAGGAATGGGGATTGGGTGGGGAAAGGGAGCCAAGTTGGGGCACACATCATTCTTTTTTTCCCTTGTGTTAAATGTATGGTATACACTGAAAAGTGTGTGACATGCACATGCAGCGCAGTGCAAAGAACAGCAATACCATGAAACAAACACAGCACCCAGGTTGGTGAGGAGGCTATTCCAAGTGCCTTAGAAGCCCATGTGCCCCTGCCCAACACATTTTCCCCAAAGGAAGAAAACCACCGGCCTGAATTTAGTGACAGTCCCCTCCTCACTTTTTTTAAAGCTTTCGTTTATTTATTTTTAGAGAGGGGAAGGGAGAGAGAAAGAGAAGGAGAGAAACATCAATGTGTGGTTGCCTCTCATGTACAACCACTAGGTCCCCACTAGGGACCTGTACTGCAACCCAGGCATATACCCTGACTGGGAATCGAACTGGTGACCCTTTTGTTCATAGGCCAGCACTCAATCCACTGAACCACACCAGCCAGCGTATTCTTTACAGTTTACTACTTCTGTATGTATCCCTAAACAACATCACTTAGATTGCCTGTTTTTAACCTTTCTGCAACTGGACTCATACTTAATATATTCTTCTGTATCTTGCTTCATGGGGTCATTGTATAGGCTTTAAAGATTTCTTCATATTAATGAGTAAAACTGTAATTTGGTCAATTTTTTTTCTTGTATAGTGTTCCACTGTATAAAAATATGACAACTTAATATTCATCCTAGTGTTTGTGGACATTTGGGTTGTCACCACCTTGAGGCTATTCTAAAATCTTCTGTATATGTCCTCTGGTTTATGTGTACAAGAGTTTCTCTAGGTATAGTCCCAGGAATGGAAGTTCTGTGTTACAGGATATATACCTGATCAACTCCACTAGGTAATTCCGAACTGGTTTTCAAATTAGTTGTGCACTTATACCTTATTATATATTTTTAAAGGTGTTATTTATTTATTTTTAGAGAGAGGGGAAGGGAGGGAGCAAAAGGGAGAGAAACATCAACATGTGTTGCCTCTTGCACACCCCCCCACTGGGGACCTGGCCTGAAACCCAGGCATGTGCCCTGACTAGGAATCCAATCCACAACCCTTTGGTTTGCAAGCCGCCACTCAATCCACTGAGCCACACCAGTCAGGGCTCACTGATACTTTTTAAAATAGTGCCACCAGAGGTGACCCAGGCAGAAGTGGCATGCCAGCCACAGGGCCAACCGCATGAGTTTATTTTCAGCAAGGGAGAGAAGTCATATGGCAAAAGAGGTGCGTCATTGCTTCCCTGCTCAGGCCCATCAACTGCATCATCAACAAACCTTTCTAGAAAAGCTAAGAGGCATGCACTGGGCCAGGGGCTGGGAGACAGCCCTGAGTTAGCGTGAGCAGCCCAAGACAGGGACGAGTGTGTTCCCAAGTACTCTGCCAAGCGGCCCCACACACTTTGGACATGGAAGGTAGGGGACAGTAAGGGCTGGATGGGTCAGGGAGAGTTTCTTAAAGAGGGGCCCAGGCCCAGGACATCTCAGCACAGGCACTATCTTCCTCCTCAGAGGAGGATGGTGGATCAGTGGAGGAAGGACAGAGGGCCACCCTTCCATCACTAGAGGGAGGGAAGGGAAAAAGAGAAGGTTGGGGCTTTCTGAACCAGAGACAGACATCTCTCCATCCAAACGCACCTGTTCCCTTGTGCCCATCCACGGGCAAAAGTGGCGCCCACCCCGAGAGACGAGCTGGTAGACGTGCTGCAGGAGCAGAGGCCAGGAATGTGAGCTTGCAGCTGCCTGAGGGAGATAAGCCCAGCGCGGGGGCTGCCTGCCTGGCCTGCCCTGAGAGCCCCCCTGGCACAACCGCCTGGGCTCCCAAGAGGCAGTCTCTGCAAAGTGGAGTGTTTTCAGGACAACCTGGGGGCCCCACCCTAAATGCTTGCTCTATTTAAGGGACTGGGGTAGCAAAGTCTCCTAGCCGGTGCTAGAGCCCTATCTGATGCTGCCAGGCTGGGCAGGGTTGAGTCTGCAGTAGATCCCATTACTTGGTGAAGTAAAATTGTTTAATTAAATTTATTATAAGATGC